CTGGGCCTACATACAAGAAGAAGCATCCATTTTCAATCGCATTTTTCGCGTGGCTGAAAACATGAGCTTCCGCAAGCCTTCCGCGAAGAAACGCTTCCGTGGAGCTTCCGCGTCCTTCCGCGCGCACAGGAAAACCTAGTTTTCGGACCATGATTTGGTGAGTTTCTGTGCTGCGCACTTATAATTGATCTACAGTATTAAAAAAAAAAAACGACGCTCAACTGTCACTGTCTGATAAGCCTTGGCGTGGCTTGGATGCTCACTCACCAGAATTTTGCCCAGCGAGGGCACAGGTAATCACAAAGGGGTTACTCAACACTCCTTTCATAGGATACCAAGTTGTGCGAAACTAGTTCCTACGCTCTTCTGTCTGATTCTGTCACAAAGCTTACATGGAGCCTATAGCATGGAATCCCGGGACATACCTGGAAGACTCCGCAAACTGTTGTAACAACCCTCACATGGAGCTGAGAGCCCTGACCACACCCATGAGGCCGATGTACCAGTCGTCCATCTTCTTCACCTGTGCAGAGCCGCAATCTGGCGTCAACTGCCGCAGATGAGCCGTACGATGCCATACGCACAGACCTGCTATGCTGATGAACATAACTTACCAGGGCTGTCAGGTTGCGGTCTTCAGAGGGGTCTGTGGCTGGCTCCTGTCAAACTGTTTAAGGAGCTAGGTCAGCTAGGGCTGATCTTCCCGAAGTTTCACGTCGCTGTCCAGTTGGGATTTGGACGTGCCGTGGATTAGTGTGGTTTTCACTTGGAGCTCGTGAGAAGCTATGTAAGTCCTGACAAACTCAGAACGGAGTACTAGAATGTACGAGAGACCTTGCCACATCAACAGGACCTCTCGCAGGCAGTGCCACGCAAGATTGACCTTCCAAGCATCCCTTGGCAGGCCATTGCCTGTGAGACGTGCAGCATCTGAATGAAGGTGAGGGAATACCTGCCATCATGGTCTACGCTGGCATCGAAGCTCCTAGTCCTAGCCAGGCTCAGCTATATGTGCTTCAACGTGTCCACCTGTGAAGATGGCTGTCGTGTCTCCAGCTGACAGCCATATTCTGACAGTCCAAGCTTCCTGCTCTCAACCGCTGAGCCCAGCCCATGCAAAAAAGAATAGGAAGCGTTGATCCGTGTAGGGCGGTGCCAAAGTTCATGTATATCAACTGTCTGAATCCCCAACTAGCAGCACACAAGTCTGTCACAGCGAAACGAATCCAGAAACTCAAGCTGCAGGTATGGCCTCACCATCATCCTCATGTTGTCATAGATGTCCCTGTCAGCTTTCTTCATCGCCTCGCGGCGCCCGGCACACCACTGAGGCAGGTTAGGCTTCTGGCAGGTCACCTTCTGAGTTTGCTTCTCCATCAACTTCTCTCCCTCAGCGCGTGTGCCAAACACTTGTGCGGGATCGCCTCCTTGTCTGATGCCATTTTGGGGTCCTTCTCTGTGCGAAGCTGGCTCACACAAAAAAAGGTCTTAGAAACATGAGAAAGGCTAAGGGCTACGTAAATGGCTGGTTGAGCCGTATCATATTACGGGGCTGTTGATATGATCGTTTTTCAAGTCTTGTCCCTTCTCTAAGCCAAAAGCATGCCCCGCACTGGAGGCGATGTCAATTGGTACCTGTGGGTTATTGTGCAACCCCAAGGCGCTCCGGTCCTGCTGCTTGGTTTTGATGCGCGAGATCTGCCAGGAAAGAAGAGTTCAAGAGGTTGAGGTTGGCACTTCCCACTCACCAGACAAAACATGCAAGGTACACAAGGATAAACTGCAGCTCCAACGATTTCCTGCTACTGCAACGACTTGGAGTTCGTGGATCTAGGAAGCTGAGTTACTGCTTCGGCAAGAAAAAAGAGCAACGAGCCCAAATACTGCATGAGCAACTGCATCTTGGACCACCATTTCTGGAGTTGAAGGTTCCCTGTTTTCCCGTCAGTCGGATACTTGCAGTCCCCTTGGCTTCCAAAAAGTCTGGAACGCAATGAAAACTACTAGGGATGACAGCATATTGACAGCTACCGATCGAGCCGGCCTCGCGAACACACAGCGAGAAGTTCAGCACGTGGGACAACGTGATGAACCTTCAAAACAGCACGGAACATATGGGCTTGAAAGACATCCAGCGCTCCATGCATCGGTCTGAGCCCAGCCTAGCTGACTTGCCCTCTAGAGCCCGTGCTCCAAACCTCGTTTAGATGCTGGATTGAGGGTCCATCGTGCCTGAGATTTCTCCGATGCCATTGGATGGCAGTATAGTTTTGGAACCTGTCATCATCAGGACAAAAGCAGTGCAGATTTGCTGAGACTTCCAAGTTAGCATGCATAGCAGGTGTAATCTTACAGTAGAAGGCGCTAAGGATCTTGGAAGGGCTCCCGACAAAATCTCTCAGCTATGGTATCCTGGCTTTCCTGCGCTTCACGAAAAAGCAGGCCACGGCGGCTTGAGGATGCCAACTTTCAGCAACCAGTAGATGTGATCCTGAGGGGTCGAAGCCAGGATGTCAGGAAAATCGCGTTTAAGGAAATCATGTTCTGAAGTGCTTCTCGCACTCGACTGCATATGTGCTGCTGAGCTTGCATGGCCTGCATCATGGTCACAAGTTAGCGCATTGAGATCCAAAATTTCTACTTTCGAACCTTCAAACTGTGAACCTCAGTCATATTCTGAGAACCTCAGCCACATGTTCCAAAACATGCCACGGTTCTCGCATGTGAGGATCTGTTCGAACGTGTTCAGACTCCTGATTCCTGATAGAGGAAAGGCAATTGGTGCAGGACAACACATCTTGAGATGCATCCCTGCGTGAGCGTGGGTAAGCAACCCGACAATACAGCGCAACACAGCCCCAATCTAGAACCTGATATTTAATTTCCCCCATTTTTCCGGAGTAAGTAGCTCTCACTATCCAATAGACTGAATGTACCCAAAATGAATATCCTGCTCCCTGCACCTTGTTAGAGTTGCAACTCTGAACCCCAACCCTGAGTTTACCCTGAACAAAAACCCTAGCTTTTCACCCCAAGATCCTGGATCAGGAATGTGATCAGAACTGCTCTCTGCACAGCCTGCAGGGTTTACGGGCTTGGGTACCATGAACGTAGTTGAGAAAGTTGCCCCTGCAATTTGTGGATTCTATTTTGTGGTATCTGTTTGTTTACATTCTGTTGGCCTTCCATATTGCCACTACTCAGGGCTCGCTTGCTAGAATCATTCTTTGCATCATGGTTACTGTACGCGAAACCCCTCTTGGTCGTGCTATCCTCGTCACAGAGGTATGGATGGAGACACCTGAACGGATACGATAAACGAATCAGGGAACAGGTCGAACCCTCCCTCCTCGATCATGTCACGCAGACCCTAAACCCTCAACCCGAAACTCTGCTTACCTCGACCCCTTACCGTTGATCTTGTCAGGTCAGAGAGAAACCTTACCTCCAAGATGTCGCCACTCTGGATGGCTTGGCCCAGCACAGGGATGTGAGGAATCTCCTTTCCAAGTCTGCAAGGCTGAGGGTCAGAGCAGACTCAATGCGGTGAGGCTCCCAGGTGCAAGGACCAATTGGCCGAATTGACAAGCTCCTGATGTGGGAGTCGGAATCCTACCAATGAGCCATCCAAGCCTTGCCCCAGCGGTGTGTTCGCCGAGCCCAGGCAAGCGTCGTCTGAACCTGCAAGCTGGGGGATTGAAGCAATGTAGGGGTCTACACAACTAGAGTAGGCCTTTGGATTACATTTGGCTTTGGGTATGTAAGAACTACATCGCATTTATTTTGAAGTGCATTCCCTTCACCACGAGAATGATCTGTACATTCGAGCACTGGAACGTGACACCTGCAAGTTGCCCAAAACCTAACGTGACCACTGCCAACACCAAGCAGCTAACAACAGAATCCAACTCTATGTACCCAGCGGAAAGGAAGCCAAGCCAGCTTTGGGGTCCGACAGCCCTGAACCGGCTCGAAATTCCCCGAGCCCCCCAACCCCTGAACCTTAAACCCTAAACCCTAAGCCCAGCAACCCTCAAATTCCTAGACACACCTCCAGGCCTCCGCAATCACAGGCTTCCAAGGCTGCAGCCAGAAAGTCTCGGACATGTGGCCCAGGAAGCCTTGCTCAATGCTTTCGGGTTCTAGGGTTCCTAGGATTCCGGTTTGGGTATCTTTGGGTAGAGGACTCCTACAAAAAGCTTTCTGCTTGAAGGCTGAGCTTTCTTGTTTTCTGCATGAGGTTCTGCTCGTGTGGACTGCCTGCACCCAAGCAAGGATGGACCCTTCAAGGCTTCGAGGATGGGAGGACATGGAAGTGTAGGTCAGCCTTCTGAAAACATGGATGCATGATCTCCAAGAAGGCCCTCCAGGAATGGCAGGACGCACCTTGTAGGAATCGGCAGAAGTACTGGACGATTCGTCCCGTTTTATCACGGGCCTCGGCCTGCGCAGCAAGCACGCAAGCAAGGTGGAAGATCACACACGTGACTTAGGGAGGGCTCCATGATTTTTTGCAGGAGCAATCGAATTTGCGTGCCTTGGAGATGAACTTCCAGACGTGCTGATAAAGCTCCTCAGGATGTGGCAGGTAGGCTCGACAGAGCGGATTTCATACAGTAAGCTTTTGGTCTGCATAGTCCCAAGACGGTACAGGGATCGATTCCCAGCTTTTTGCTCCAGACTCGGGATACTGATAGCGCCAACAAGGAGGAAACTACAGTACCCACCAGCCCTGAGCACCCGACGCTCTTGTGAGTAGTTGTCAACTGCTTCTTCAGCATCTGCAGGCCCAGGACCTCTCCGCCAGAAAAGCCAGAAGCAGAGTGTGGATCTCACACTCCCTGCCCCGCCGAAGTTGCATGACATGACAGTCAAAGGACAACAAACAGAAGATTACTTGAGCGCTTTGCTCCTAGTATTGCCATGGCGCAATCAATTCGATGACAGTAGTTGGTAACAACGGGAAGTTCAAACTGCGATACTGTGGACAGAGGAGTAGAAATAATGAAAAAAAAACGGTATGCCTAGTAGTAGTAGTAGTAGTAGTAGTAGTAGCAGTAGCAGGAGGAGCAGAAGTAGTACCAACAACAAAAACAATGTAGTATTACCAATAATAAGAATACTAGTTAAAAGATATTCATAATCATAATAAGAATAATAATACAGGTATTACTAACAATAATATTCATGGTAGTAATAATAACAATGCCTGTTCCGTGCAGCTTGTTTTGTACTACTCAGGGCCGCGGCGAAAATCATAGCGGCCGGCCCGGCCAGCAGCCTCGGGGCATCTTCCCCTCCCTTTAAGGAAATCAACTGAACAATGGAGTCATTAATATTTAGGGATATTTAGGGTTATATTGGGATTATATTGGGATAATGGAAAATGAAATGGAAGCTACTTTTTGGGGTTTAGGGGTACAATGGAGTCACTAATGATATTCGCGTATGCCTTACTATCTTACTGTGGTTAGTCCCCATTATGTGGGGACTCTATGGGAACAATCGTCCCTTATTCCCTACTATGACCTCCAATTTCTACCCTATTATAATGTAGTAGCTTCCATTTCTTTTTCCATTGCCACCAACCTTGGTGCCTGTGGGGTCACGTGGGAACCTGGTAGTATAGGACGGGCTGAACAGAGATAGGACGATTCCCTTGCTAGTGCTAGCGTGCTACAGGCGCATCACTCACACTCGCAATCTTCTTGCTGCCCAACCACTGCGATGCATGCCAAAGGCTCTTGATGGGCGGAAGATAGGCCTGCAGGGTAAGGGTATGTTCCAGCCGTATGTATCCCTATATAACCCTATAGAACCCTGTCTAATTCCCTATGCAATCCCCCTTAAGGAGTTTAGACTGTAGCATATTTCCTTTGATGGCGGAAGCTCAAGAGGCTCAGACTCTGAACGTGTTTGGCTCGCTGCTGGTGCCGCGCAGCGGTGAGCAAAAAAGCAATTATAGCAGCCTCATTGTGCCCAAGCAACGGCGGCGTAGAGAAGAAGACCTGCATGACTGCAAACAAGCAGACTCTCATTGCCTTCAAACTTCCTGAAAGCCTCTCGTGCCTTCGACACGGCCATGGGCTTGCGCAAGCCTGCTGACATGTTCCCAGAAAGTGACCGCCACGGCACCATGCAAGCAACTCTAAACTTTGCAAAGTATCATGAAGTTACCGCTGTTACGGCCTATCGCTGCCGGCAACAGATAAGACCCGCCACCAAAGGTCTTGACGCAAGCCGTCCTCCAGCGGCCAAATCAATGCGGCGGGTAATGAGATCGCCACCTTGGCTCTTGAAGCCAGCTAAGCTTATCAGAAAGCACATGAGCCGTTCTGCTGCTCTGCAAGGTCAACGCAAGGTTGGAAAACCATGCAAGGACGCACTACAAGACACAGCAATCCAGACTGTGCTAGCCTGCTTGCCATCCATCCTTACACACTCCAAGACCTCCAAGCCAAAAGGCAACTTCATTGCTTTGTCAAACTGTAGCCCTCCACATGCGCTAAGCAAACACGGACCAATGGATTGAAAGATCAACAGAGCTTTTCACTTTGACCTATCCGGCATGCAACAGCCCTAGATCAGAAGGCCTCAGCTGTGAACGGACCCGTTTCCACAAAAAATGCTGCGGGGCAGAAGCCATGAGTGTTGATCCCTCTCCCCCCCACATCCTGGGGGCGGCACCGCAACTCAGATCTTCAATGCCAGCTGTTTGAGCCAAACCGTCAAGGCAGAATGCTTGCGTCCGCCTCCCGAACCCCATCCTCGCTAACTAAGAAAGTTCGACAGGTACTTGTTTCTCTTCGTGCCCTGACTGAAGGGAAGGAACGAAGAGTGTTGGGAGGAGAAGCATCTCTCGCAAGGGGAAGGGGACTTGTAGCTCCAGGACCTGGGAGGCTAAGCAGTCTAGAAAACTCCTGAAGTTCTTAGATAGTAGTCATAATCAAGGTAGGAATAACAATAGTAACAATAGTAACAATAGTAACAATAGTAACAATAGAAATAATACCAATAATGGCAATGCTAGCAATGACAATTGGTAATAGTAGTAATACTAGGCGTTCCGATGCGGAGTCACTACTTGTAGGCTGAGACTTGACCAGGGCCTTCGCACGGTTTGGGGTGCAACATCCCTGTCTTGAAGCATTGAAATGTTGAGAGCTGGGGGAGTATGAGCATGCCATGTGCTAGAGTCTAAACTCCTAGTGTCCCCCTTGATAAACCCCTATTATAGTCCCCTATATAACCCCCTTCAAGGAGTCTATACTATAGCTCATGTAGACTAGCAAGGTATGGGGTCCGCCCTGTTGGTGCGGGCGGTGTCGGCTGCATGCGCAAGAACTGGGAGTTTCTCAAAATTAGGGGAAGCGTCTTGGGGTTTTCCAATAGTAAGGATTATAGTATATTGGGGCCTATATAGGGGTCCCCTTATTCATGGCAACTAGCAAAATTCGTCAGCACCATGACTGTGACTTGCAGGCCTTTATTTCTACTCAGGTACAGTGCAGAGAACATGTCATTTGAGTAGGACAGGTGTCTAGCATTGTCTATCACGAAGAAGGAGGGACTTGTAGATCCAGGATTTGGAGCCTAGGGATTGGGACCTTTTGAGTATCATTGGCGCACGCTAGGGGCTATAGCCTTCGCAGGGCTTAGGGTTCTGTATGCTGAAGCCATCGTTGTGGATGTGGCTTAAGTTGCAGGATTCTAAGCCATTTGGTGTTTAGGACCTTTATGAGGCCCATTTACTTCCAGATTTGCCGAATGATTTTCCATCTTTGAAAAAATTAGCGGATGCGGCTGGGTACGTTACAGCCCTCCCACTTGTGACCTTTTTCCGACGTTGAAGGAAACGCTCCGATCGGGTCCCTGTCTTTATACACAAGAAGAGCGGCGAATTGAAACTCACTAACCACTCTACTCCCCAAACGGGCTTGGCACTAGGCACGCGCCGTGCGCGCAAAGAGCTATACCTGCACCACATCCACGAAATTCAAAAGCACCCCAAGGCCCTGCCAATGTGCCACACTTTTGTTGACAATGTCCCGGTGTCGGCAGTGCTGGAAGCCGTGCGACATCGTTCAATGCGCTCGCTGCGGCAGCGGACATTTCTCGTGACCGAGCGGGAAGATGCGGGGCGCATCTGGCAGTCAGCTTGAAGGAAAGTCCGGTGCATGAAATGGGCTGTAATTGTGATCCCTCAGTGTCCGCGCCAGGGTGTCATTCGGCGAACATGCTGCAGCATTTGCCGTCGACCAGTCAAGCATCGCAGCTCCACAACCAACCGTGCCTCAACACTTCAGACTTTGTGAGCAAAAAACCTGAGAAAGCAGAACCCAAACTAACCCAAAACCGCCAAGGTTACATGGTGCAGTTGGGGGGAATCTTGCACCAGCTAGGTACTTGCCGGGGCTGAAGGGACGTAGGGTGGTGCAGGATCTCCTCCATCAACTGTCTCTGACAAGAATCGTTGAAGCGGAGCTGTGCTCGCGAGCGCGCGCGCGACTTGGTCTGGGCAGAGCCGCAGAGGGGTTGTAGCGGGTACACTTGGCCTAAAGAACTGTTCCATACTGTTCCCAAATGGGGAGAATTGTAGGGACCCGTATTAGAACAGGAACCCCACTTTACCCCAATGTGGCTGGGACGCTGAAGAAAAAAAACCGGCGGCTCCTGATTCTTGGGGCTGGGGCCAAGCCTAAACCCAAGGAAAACACAAGCTGCCAAGTGCAAAGCTACAGCGAGAGGGGGGGAGGGATTGTGTGGAATATAAACGGAATTCTGACGAGCTCCGCAGCCTGGTTCTCCCTTGAATGTTGAAGATTTCGGCTTCAGTTTTAGGGATGCAAAATGTTAGAGAAGTTGGGGCTGCCAAGTTGCAGTCAGTTGGGAACAATTGCTCTAGGTGCAAGGCCGTACCTTGGGGCCTGGTTGGACACGCACAGTGCGCGCTATTGTTGTATTCATGTGGCCCTTGAACGCATCTACTTTCTGCGTTGCCATGTCCTACTCCAGTCTCCAGCTAGGCCAGGAACGATTCTGAGATGTAGCCACGATACATGATGTCTAGCGCCATGGTACCGAGCTGTTTTCACAAAACACATGTC